TTTGTTATTATTTGAGCAATTAAAGTTTATATTCTCTAGCAAAGTAAAAAGCACCTATATTAAAAGAAAATTCACTAAAAATCAGAATTCAAATAAGCTACTTTTCACTTAGATGACAAGAGATTATCTAGTTGTGACAGTATTTAACAGTTTGTCTATTTGAACAGTGTACAATAGTTTCAATAAAAAAAACGACTTTTTAGAAGCTATTAAGCAAAATTTTAGTCTTTTTAGTTGACTGACTTAAAGCTTGGCGAAAAAAATAGAGTAAAATTATATGTGAAAAAGTTTTTGTATTGTTCTTTTTTTGTAGAAACTGCAACGAAAAGGAAAATTTAAAAACGAACAACAGTGATGCATAAAAAAGCGTAACGATAATCGCTTCTTATCTTTTTTCAAAGTTATATTAGACCATCAACAAAGCAATTGGGGGAGAGAGTTTTGTTGACAGCCACTGTTTCACTTTCATCAACTTTTATCTTCTCCTATTCATTGCTGGCACAATTCATTATCTAACATATATACAAAGAATAAAACAGAGAAATGGCATTTATACCGATGTACCCTTGCTGTTTTTTTTTCAATACACCTCCTGTTTTAATAATAGCTATTCATTGATTTGGATGCAGTGGTTTTAATAGAACAAAGAATATTGTTAAGCTTTTTGACCTGGGAAATTTGTTTCTTTCTTCATCTTACCTTTTCGGTTTTTAACACTGATTTGACTTCTTTTTTTTTTTCTATCACAATTACATTTTACAAATATTAGAATTTTAAACAGTGCTATACAGTTGTACGTGTAACTGATTGACTAAAATTAATGTTTCAATACGTCTAAAAAATTTTCATTTTTCTTTACAATATTCAAAACCAGAGAGAACCTCCAAAAACAATTTAGAAAACCAACGTAACCTGTCAAAAACTTTTTTGATACGTGTATAGAATATTTGGCACAAAACTGTGCCTTTTTTTTGCAGTTTTACCGGTTGACTAACCGACGACAACGTTCAGAGTCTAGCTGCAGAAAAGGCAGACCTCCTTTTAGCTGTCAAACATCGTTTGCCTACAATGTTTATTGAATTTTGGCCAAATTAGCAGATAATAAGAATGGCTTATAAATTGATGAGTGATGTTGACCGCTAAAGTAAAAATAAACTAAAGTCATATCATTGGTTGTCTTCATTTTTTTGACATAACCAAAGTATATATGGCTATACAAACAAAACTGGTCTGCAAATGGATGGACAAATTACAATTGAAACCGTCACCGTCATCGTCGGTCCATCAGACCATTTTTTCCCTTTCAGCTTAACGTTCATTTTTGAAGTTTAAAAAAAACTTAGAAAAGAGTGATTTGTTAAGAAGGGAAGAAAAAAACGAAGAAAATAAAAATTTACTTTTTGTGAAAAATCTGTCTCTTCTTTACGTTTTTTCTTTTACTCAATTTCTTTCTTTTTTTTCATTTTATAATAATTATTGATGTCATCGACATTTATCTACAATTTGAAAAGACTTTATTTGCTTTTACAAAGAATTTTAAACGTCAGTTTTAGGGTCAACAAAATATTTGTTAGTTTCCACCGACTACTGCTTAAGCTTAGTCTTTCTCCTCGGAACACTTACCTCAGAACCACCTATGCTTACTGTAATTTTGTTTTTTTCATTTTTGAAAATAATTGCTGTATACTGACAAGTATAAAATAAACTAGGAAACAAGTTCAGTGTTATCCCTTCTAAACATTATGAATTATCAATGCGTTATTGGTAAGCGTAAAAAACCTTATTTTTATCTGGTTTTGTTACGGCTTTTGTTTCATTAACCGCAATTGTTTTCAAAATTGATTTAAAAGAAACGTTATCAGTAATCAAACCTTTACAAAAAATTCTTCTGAAGATGTCAGCCAAATTAGAAGAGTTAGTTTAAGTAACAGATAAATGTTGATAAACAGTGCCAAAAAAAGTAAATAAAATGAAATAAACCAACAAAAGAAATTAGCCGGCTAAGCTATCTCATCCTATACAAAGCTACCGAATAATACCGACTTTTGTGGAGACAAACTAACAGGTTTAGTTTTTGCCCCGACGACTAATAAGCTATAGATTAATTTCGTCGGCAATCTATTCTTTTTTTCTTCTCCTTTACTTCACATCTGGAGCAACTAGACTTTTGTCAGGCAAGAAAAATTGCAGATGAAGGGATTTTTGAGCACATTAATGAAACCGCTGGTTGCACTGTTAGTCTAGCCAAATTCAGTAGGGTGGCTTATCCCTTACTGCTTCAGACTATTGGCTTTTGCCTTTGTTAGTTCAGCATCTACGCTATCAGATTAAAATTTTATTATCTTCCCGTTCAAAAAATAAAAAATTCAAAGTCAAAATGACTGCTTTGAGTGATATTTGAGATGGTTACAGCGAAACTGGTGTAGATTTTTGGCACAGCTGTTAACTGCCGTTGGTACGCACTACGTCGTCCTGATTTTTGCCGATGTCAATTACCACATATGATTTTCAGGAAGGCAAATTAACAGAGTAAGTTGTTTGCTTATTTTTTACATTGATTTTTACATTAAAAAATACGCAGAACAATTCTGTCCTAATTTTAATAGCCACACAGTTTTTTCTCTACTGCAAAGAACATTAGCAAAGAGGTAAGTTAGATGCTTTTTTTATGACGTTATCCGAATAATTTAATAATTGTTGTGACTTTCAAAACTTAAAATAAATACAATGCATTTCAGGCAGCCGAGCACCCGAACAATTGTACTACAAGTTTGTCTATTACTCATTCTTTTTGTCACAGCACTCCTTGCGTTCGTATTTTCCATTATCATTTTCCTGAATTCCAAGCAAAAATTTTAACAGCCAAACGCATATACCACCTCTGACCAACCAAAATGGCAGCATCCTATCAACGTAACTCTATTACGTTATTAATTCATAAAATAATTTATAGTAACTTGTTCATTCGTACTCAATTCGATGTAGTTCTACAGATTAATTAAAAAAGTGTGTAACTAAAGCTACCTGAAAGCCATTCCTAATTTAAAGACAAAATGAGCGTTTAATTGGTACTTCTTATACTGTAATCTGCCACGCACATAAGTTTCTCACACAACTACAGTTCCGTATTCATACGAAAAACTTTGATACTGTTACTGTATCCATCAATTACGCTTCCTAGAAGCTGGATACATTAAGTTATTGAAAACGTGAAAAACATTATCTCACTGTTACCCTAAAAAATGTAAAAATTTTATTCTTTTAAAATAAAAATTAGGAAATCAGAACACAGCGATGTCTTGCACTAAAAATCTTGCCAAGAGATTGCAATTGACCGGCAACTTGAAACCAAAATTTTTAGCAGCAGCACGCTTACCAGACCTTACACATCAATAATAGAAGAATTACATGCTCACCCTACATCCGGCAGCATTGCAGCTAACGCACTTGCACGCCATTAAGTCTATCTAGCAATATTAGACAAACGTAAACGTCTAGCAAACCTTCTACGGTTGTTTAAACGAAAATTAGCAGTGTTGATCGAAATAATTTTTCTCAACGTTTACTTAAATAATGATTTCTGAACCTACATTTTAATAATTAAGATTTTTTGAAAAACTAAATGAACTTTTAAGCCTGCTAAAGAGTAGCAGTAAACATCCTGTTAAGTGAGTTCGGAAGTAGGGCACCCATTTAGATTTATGCAATCACTCATCACTGTGGCTGAACAATTATAAGCATGCCTGATCCTCTTCATCGTTCAGTTCCCATCTCAGCCTTTCTGGTAATCTTCAACCTCCTGATAACCGTTCCACATTCAGAATCATTTCAACGCCGAGTCAAATCGAGTGCCAATTTCTCTGAGGAACTGCTAAGGCTATTACTGAAAGAAAACAACAACTGCAGGCAAATCTGTGAGGTTTGTATTAAATACAACTTTATTAGACAAATACTTTAGCAAAGATGCTGTAGAACGAGATACAGATTACAAAACTTCTATGAAAATCCAAATTCTCATAAAAAAGTGCCTCATTTTATTGCTTTCGTGATCCCTAAATGCTCTTCAAGTAGCTTATCATTAAACCTTTGAAAAGCTCACTAATACAGACTTGCTAAAACAGCACCTTATCACACTGTCTCATGAGCAGTCTTACAGTTTTAACCCGCCACCACAGTAAACCCTGGCCCCTAACATCCAAACCCTCAATTCCTCGTTAGGTCCTTAACACTTTACAGTCCCAAATGAGTCAACTGCCAATGACTACAGTAAACCAAGAAACTTTAAGTTTTGGTTCAAAACAGCACCTTTGAAAGTATCCTAAATTTTAAATGCTCCATTCCAAACCCTTGACACTAATAGACACCTCTCATTCACAAGACAAAAAAAAAGCAGTATCGAACTACTACCAAATATCTAACAAAGAAATGATCTCAGAATGGTTTCAGCAATATCTAGCATCAATTACGCCGCAACAAGCGACATGGCTGTCGACTCTTCTTAAGGACTATGTGCAAGACGACAATATCAGAAGTAAGGCTGAGGGTTACCACGGGCTGCGTGGAAAGCGTTGAAGCTCCTAGCTGATAATGTTACATAACGTTGTTCACTACTTATTAATTTTTTAAAGTACTTGGGGAAGGCAATAAAACTCAACAAAACACTTTATTTGATCCTCTCATCTCAACAACAATCACAAAGAGCAGAAAACTGCAGTTACTTCGCAATTAAAAATTAGTCAAAAGAGCAATTCTTGAATTGCCTGCTAATTGTAATCAAATAAAATAAGAAATATTACAAATAATAAAATTAGAATTTGGAATCAGGACCAAACATTGTGCAGAAAAGTAATTGGAAACATCCATTCATACTTTTTTAATTTTAATAACCAACAAATCTGTGCAGTGAAAAGTTAGTTCTTATATGCACAGCAATAATTTGGTGATAGGTGTTTGACCATCATATTGCCTACAAAAACAACAAATGCATATAACTACAACTTTTACACTGTTTCTTGTACTGGAGGTTCATAATCGTCAGGTCGGTCTACTTTTTCTCCTGCTGCATCTGTGAATGAGCCGACATCACCATGCATGTCCATCAAGCGTCCAATTTCAAACTTCGGCTTTTTCAAAATTTTAACTTTGCGAATATAAACGTCTTGTAGAGGATAAATAAAAGAGCAGGACTTTTCTATGTCTTTACCGATTGAATCTGGTATTAATTTCATGCAAACTTCTTTCAAGTCGCTTCCTTGTACCTACAAAAAATTAATTTTTTTTTTGTTCAAGTTCTAAATCCAGTAATAGAACATCGGAGTTTGTTCCCTAAGTGTGACTTGACGTAGCACGACTTAGATTCCTTGAGTACAATTTAATAAACGATTACCTCCTTCTGCATATGTTCGACCATCCTTGCACGAATCTGCTTGATTTTTGATGTTTTTGCATAGCTTGTTTTTTTCAGCTGTCCGGCGCTCTTTTTTGTAAAGCCAATGCAAAATAACCTCAGCAAGTAGCCGTCGGAAGTCTTCACAGCCGTATTTGCCTCGATTAAAGTCTGAAATGAATTGACAAATTGTGATAACTAGGTTAATCTATTGAAGTGAAATTTATATATTTAAAAGTGACTTACATGCCATTTTTTTACAATTGAGCAAACTCTGTCACGAGTAAACGTCATTCCATGAAAGTTAGTTAAACAATTGCGGCCCTGCACATCCTCACAAATCAAACGAAATTTTCGGAAGTCAGCTTCTGACGTATTTAAGTCACCAAGCGAAACCTCAAAAACGCGACCTTTCAAGCCCTCGCTAGCGATTTCTGTAAAAGATGGGTGTCGGAAATTTGATGTCAATACTCTCGCTTAGAAATTGAAATTAGTATTTAAAACCAAATGTCATAAAATTGCACATCAGGCTAACTTGTGGAGTCATGAGCGGTAAACGTTCGTTTACAATAAACGACTGAGCGCCTTGCGAAATACTCAAACCCTATCCACTCACTATCACTTTCTTTGGTCTTAAGAAGATCCAAAATAAACTGCGAGAATAGTGTGTCTTAAAATTAAATAAAAAAAGTTGCAATAGAAAATGAGGGAAATTAGCAGCTGTAAAAAACAAAAAGGCGCTATTCACACTCATAGACATCAACCTCTATTCCAGCTAATAGGACTCCTTCAGTTACCTGAAGAACCTTCATCAGTTTCTCCACTAGATTATTTTCATAGAAATAAAAAAATTTTATTTGAAAAAAAGCAGCTTAAAACGATACAAAACTGTAAATCTCTTCATCCATTCCTAATTCCTAAACGCACTTCTTCCTCGAATTTTCAAACTGTACCTGTCTTTCAGACTTTTTTTTTACACTACATCAATTGTTCCCACGTAAAACGCACCAATGCATCCACTGGTTCCGGATCGATGTACAAAATCCTACTTTATACCAGTACACTAATTAAAAAAAACCCTCTGTCAGCTTCAAAACCATTTTATGACTAACTGCTAAAGTGGTACTCTACAAAACTTGTATTCAAAGACCAGGACCTCACGTCCTACCTTTGTTCCCTCGCCCTTTATGCTTTGAGTAACTCTGAAGCGGAAACTCTAAAAAAACGCTTCGAAATCTCTCAGTCAGGCCTAGTGTCAATGAACTTGAGCGTCCAGTTTAAAAATTCATAAGCAGAAAGAGGAATCTGAAACTTACTAGTCCCCTGGGTTCGGTTGACCAATGTTTTTCCAATTTGTCTATTAGAAAACATAGATGGCGCTTTGACATCATACCACTCCTTCCTTGAGAACGGATCAACTACCTTCTTCTTCGTTCCCTTTTTCACCATCTTCTTGCTTTTACCCACAGCCATTTTGAAACAACTAAACTCAGCATGAGAAACACAGAAGTTCCAAAAACAATTCACAATACCGATCACCTGTAGAAACGATAGGAAAAAAGATAGCACGAACGTCAAAAAGCAGTTTTTTTTTTTTTTTCTAGAATTACAGAACTAAAATCTTCCAATCTGTCTGTTGCGACAAACAAATCTCTTACTTACAGATATAAATGACTAAAACGTAGATAAAACATAGTTCTAACGTATCTCCAGTCAAATCTTAATCAGAAAAAGGTTACTGTCTAAAATTTAGCAGTAAAAAACAATTTTATTTTGAATACCTAAATATTTATTGCGTATCAATACCAGCTAAAACTAGTCCTAATGTACACCACAATATTTAATGTTAAAAATAAAGTACGACCTTCACCTATAGAACAGTGAAACTTGCTCTCTTCAATTTTACGTAACAGCCTAGCCTAAACTAACAGAAACCAGGTTGTTGTCAACACAAACAACTAGCAATATTGTATGTACAATAAAGCATAAAAATTTAATAATTATGACTTAGAGTCTTGACATTTTTCCAACTTTCCAACTTCATTTTATTACGTCTGATGCAGCATTTTTC